AAAAAATCACCATGTATATAAGGAACACGCATGTAACGTAGGGGCCTACTGTTGTGCTGGGGCTCTATTATAAATTCACGTATGTCGTCGTATTATCTGTTTGTGATACTCATTATTGGTGATTTTGTAATACGGTATATTTTAGGTGGACCTAGATTACACCAAGCATTCTGAGTCGAGTTGTTCGTATGAAGTTGTACAGCTCATGCGCATCTCTGTGAAAAGTCAAGAGCCTATTCCTGCGGACTGTGAGTATCTCTGAATTGTCTCAACTTATATATTATCAGAAGCGAATAATAATAGATTATATTATTATTCACTCCTGATATTAAATATATATATATATATATTAGAGACCTTCCAGGAGCCGATTAAGGTTGTATGGTGAATATGTGCACAGCTTATGCTCAATTCCTTAAATTTCATACATTTCTCCTATATTTTAAATGGATAACCTCCATTATTTCCTATATAGTCCATCAATATAGTCAATCCTATATAGTCCCATCAAGTGTTTAGGAGGTATGCTCGGAGTGTAACTACGGTAAACATTAGATAAACAGTTGGTGTTACGACGTATTGGTCTTCCGCGCCTGCCCTCCCCGCTATATGCCCCCACGGCTGCATCTTATACATCTGCATAATATCTACAAGGAAGCCATGCATGCAGACGGATTAATCAAGCATGCATAGCACAGACGCTCGTGTATAAAAGCCCCTCCGGGAATAACAGCAGCAGTCGCTGTACACGCGCCAGATTGCATTAGCGGGAAAGCCCGGCTTCGTCATTAAAAATGCATGCTCACCCGGCGACACACGAGAGCACACGCATGTAGTGGAGGACACTAGAACCTTGTCAACTGACCGTGCATAGAAATGTCCAGCACGTCGGTTATACGCGAATGCATCGGCCACTAGAGGAATTCACTCTATAATTAATGTTTCCCCTATTACATGTCCCAGTGGGAATCTAGTGAGTGAGAATTATCCGCGTGTGTGTGTGAGAGGGTATGCATTAGAGCCGAAATAGCGGCATTACACGTCCATTGGTTTGCTCTCGATAGAATGCATGACTTGCATATCTACTTACATGTTACAGATTTCTTCTATCTTTAGTTGTGCATTTCATGCTTATTTTAATGATGGCATATATAAGCACGACATGACAGCCCGCTTGTATATACGCGCCTGTTCAACATATAGCATATAATTGCTAGAAGAAATCGTTCATAAAACCGAGCTTTATTGCATGATGACAATCACTATATATGCAATTATTACAAGCGTCACGTAATCATGACATCAACCAAGCAGGGAAAATCATAAAACGCGACGAAGGCAAATATGCGTATGATGTACAAAAAGCGATCCAATATATACAGCATGGAAATGATCACGGTGTCAATCGCAAAGAAAAATTTGTTAAAAAAAAGTCAAACAATTCACGATTTGAACTTGACTCTCGAGTTGTACGCCAGCGATAGCCAACAGAAAATCGTCGTCAAAATCGAAAAGTTCCACCTCGCCGTCGCCGGGGGCGCACCACTACACGCACACTGACACCACTGCTGCTCCTCCTGTTGCTCCCTCTGCCGGGTGGCGTGCCTTACCGGCGCCCGACGCGTCTGCACTACGTCACACTTCTCGTCGGTGACGTCACTTCCGGCCACAGAACTGATGCTGTACTCGGCCCACACGCACACGGTGTAGTTTGCGTCGGCGCTCAAATTCGTGAACGTGTACAGATCCCTTCCACCACTCACGCTCAGCGACTGCCGATAATCGGTCACCGATGGCAGGTAGGCACCCACCTGAACGATGTCGAAGGGCGTGTCGGCGCTCTTGCGCACCTCGACCTCGATGCGGTCGGGGTATCCGCGCGTGGTGTGCGTATACACGCGCTGGTCGGCAGGGGAGTCGCTCGTCCGTACGACGCGACACTCCGTGGCTTCGCTCGAGCCCCCGAGCACGACGTGTACGGCACTGAAGCAGACGAAGTACCAGGCGTCTCTCTGCAGACGCGTTATGTTGTACGAGAGAACGTTGTCGTCACTGCTAAACGTTCGGCTGCCGGCATCAGCAGCAGCATCGCTCCGAGAATCCGCATCACTCCGAGAATCAGTGTTTCCAGCATCAGTACCAGTGTTTCCAGCACCAGTACCAGTGTTTCCAGCACCAGTACCAGTGTTTCCAGCACCAGTACCAGTGTTTCTAGCATCAGTACCAGTGTTTCTAGCATCAGTACCAGTGTTTTCAGCATCAGTACCAGTGCTTGCGATACTCTGAGGGTTCACATTGCGCCAGTTGATAGTGATGTCAACTCGGTCTAGTCCGTCCTGTATTGCCTGCCCCGTCCAGGAGATGAATATGAAGTCTCTGCCTGTCTCCACGCGTTTCACCGTTGTCACCTCCATCGTTACTGCTTGTATCCATGGTAACAGCGACAGCAGTGGCAGCAGCGACTGTAGGCATTGCACTAGGTGTAGAGAAAACGGTGTTCAGTTAGTGGCAGGCGATCTATACCGCTACTAAAAATGTTTAGAGATCTTGTCTCTAGCAAAACGTACAAAAACGTTTTCATTATTGGTGTCTAAATTATATCGCTTCTCTCTCTCTCTCTCTCTCTCTCTTTCTCTCTCTCTCTCTCTCTCTCTCTCTCTCTCTC